TCCTGGTAGGAAAGGTAATCAGCAGACTTTCACCCAGGGAAAGATTCCTCTCTTCGGGACGTCAAACCGCTGTCACTCACGGTGATGTAGAGAGAAAGACAGAGGGAGAAAGAGAGCAAAGTGAATATACGGAGGGGAGATAAGTAGAGAAGGGGGGAGAGAGAAAAGAAAGGGCACATACAGAAGGGAAGTGGTAGGAGAAGAGATGAGAATCCAAATGAATCTTCTTCACCCAACGGACAGACTGTCAAGCTCTGTGTGTGTGTGTGTGTGTGTGTGTGTGTGTGTGTGTGTGTGTGTCTTACCTACTAATTGAAATGCGATGAGGTGTGAAACATCCCTTTTAAAAGTCCTATCCCCGTGTGTGAAGCTAAATGTGTGTTTCGGGGGTTATTTATGCACGTGTGTGTGTGCAACGCATATCAACTCCTTTTGACCACAGATATAATGCAGTGTGTGCGAGTGTGAATGTGTTAAACACAAATGTGTGAGCGCCATACTCAAGTAGGGATGTACCTGTTTGCATGAAATCTGTTTGTAGTCATTTAATTCATGCATGAGGGCGATAAACAAATGTGTGTTTATGTGAGTGCAACTAAATATTTATCATGCACAAGGCAATTTGCATGTTCGTCTACTTGCACATGACAATAAAGCATGAGAGCTTGGTACTCCTGCGTGTGTGTGCGCGTGTATAATTTCATTTTGCTGTCTCAGCCTCTTGTTAAGGGGCCATTTAGAGCTCAGGTTGAGTTTCGTCAGCCACTGCTGACACTTCTTTCCTATCCGCCCCTCCAACTTCCTCCACCTTTTCTCCATCTCTGTCTCATTATCTCTGTCTGCCTTCTCGTCTCTCATCCCCTCCCCTCCTCCCCTCCTCTCAGTATGTGGTCACTGCATTAAACAAACACTTCTATCAAGCTTTGTTGGTAAAGATTCAATTATTTAGGTTGAATAATGGACACAGGCCCTGATCCTAACAGTTTCTGGATACCTTCTGCCGGGTAGAATTAACAGAAACAACAGCAGCAGTCGGTATAGGTTTACTAATTATGCAAAATTAGGAGTTTTCACTTAACAGTGGGAGTATTTTGAGTAATTACTGGAACAGCGTTTGTTCTGGTGAGTGATGATATTCAGTGTTGTGCACATTCCCCTCAGACCGCGTATGTTTATGAGTGTGTGAATGTGTTCTGTTTAACAAACACCAACAATAACTAAATGGCTCTTTGTAACGGCACTGCTTAAAATGAAAATTGAATTTGTATGCTTGTGCTTGCTTCATATGTGGGCATGTCTGTGGGTGCGTGTGTGTGTGTGTGTGTCTGTGGGTGCGTGTGTGTATATGTGTGTGTAGAAGACGCCCTCTATATGTTCCCAATCAGATTAGTGAACCGTGATATAACTCTCTAAGCTTATATCAATATTCCTCCATTGCAAATACACTAAAACGTGCCCTCTATGTCCCTGTTTCACCAATACTGTGATATTATCAGGCCGAAATTTGAAACAACATACATCCACATTGGCAACACATCCAGGAACTGGACACTTGGACAAATTACAACAAGCTTTTTTTAATCACTCATTTGCTCATTTTTGCCAGTAGATCCTCAATTATGTTACACAAATGAAACCGTCATGCAGCGGTCAAAATATTTACAACAAAATATATCCGTACCCTTGTGCTGTATCTTCTACCATGAATGGGGTACTAATTGTTTTCTCAATTCAACAACATTACAGTAGATATATAATTCAATTGGACCAATTGTACAAACTCATACTAAGGTAACTTGTACAGCAAGCTAGCAATATTTAAACACAGTCAACAAAGACATACACATTTGACTAAAAAGACACTTAATAAAGATTATACCTTATTTCAAACAGACTCGTTTCGTTTCATCTCATTTTCAGGTATAAAACTTATTACCAATGATTTTCTATGACATGCCCCAAATTATAGGACTCAAGAAAAAAATTGGTAGGTCCAAATTCCAAAGGCGTGCTTTATGAATTAGTTAAGGTGAAAAGGACATAAGGGACAATGTATGAACTATTTATACCTGTTACCTACTGAAGGCTAGAAGGTCAGACATCATGGGAAACAGAAATCTGCATATTTAAATGCTTTGGAGCAATAAATAAAATATTCTCTATCTGTAGCTTTTCTTCTCATTCTCAGTTTCTTTTTCATCATACACATACACAGTTAATTTTATTTGGAATCATTTTTATTATATATGTTTGGTATTGATCAGTTCCTGTGATACAACAGCTAATGATGACTTGATGATGGCTCTCGACTTGAGGACCAAAGTGATTACAACTAATCTTGAGGGTGACGTTAGTTATACGTTACTGGGCCTAATTCCACAGATTTCAATCAAAAGTCACAATGAACATGGGTGTCCGTACGAAATGTAGTGGAAATACGTTGTATTGTTTTCAATATATTTGGACAAACCAGCGACAAACATTGCAACCAGGAGGGAAACCAATCGCAAGGGGATGTTTGTTCCAGCTTTGTTTTAGGAAGTTGTAGTGAACTGTTGAGCTGTAAAGTAAAAGGAAATACTGTGTAAAGACAGTACAGCTTTGTGTTCTCAACATTTCCAAAATCTTTAATGTATTTCTTCTTCGATTAATCCCAACTGCAGTGGATCCATACTAGTTTATGTGGTCGTAATGCAATGTGGACTGTAACACAATGTTAAATAATGTGGGTATGGATTTCATGGATGTTTGGAAAAACAAACACACAAACATTCACGCTCAGACACACAAACACACACACATCAACAGTGCCTATTATATCTAGGAAGCCTTTTTTTTAGGGTCCAGTGAATATTAGAAATAGTGTCATTAGTGGACCAAAGGCAATATAAGAGGATCAATATCTTTAGTACATTTAGGGATTTGCTGAAGATATTGAGTAGCAGATACCTTTAAATAGATGGTCATTTGTCTTTGGAGGAGAAGCACTGCAATATGGTCGCCCATCACAGTCAAAGGGATCCTTCACGTGGCCAATAGGCATCTTTGTTACTTTGTTTTGGAAACCCACCTTAGTTCTAATCATTGGTTTAGTGCGTTTGTGATGGTCAGTCAAGCTGCACCAACTCTGGAGCTGAAGCTAACGTAGTGTTGCTGTGTGATGAAGCTCGCCGTGTGGGCTAACGTGGGTGAGCAGAGTTAAGGTGATAAATATCTGACAGAGGATAATAGGATTTGATTCCAATGTACGCTAACACACCAAACTAGGTGAAGCATTTTACCTGCTGATCTTCAGTACAGCAGCACAGAGCGACAAGCAGTGCTTTCGGCTCTTGGTAAATTATGACAACTTGCATAAATAACAACAAGTAATAAGAGACAGAAAACACAGGGAGAACTAAAAAGAATATATAAATATATATATATATATATATATATATATATATATATATATATATATATATATATATATATATATGTATATATTGGTTTGACTTACTGTACTTGTTAATTCAAATGTTTATTTGCAGTCTAATTCATAAAAATCCACTTGCCCTTCAAGAAAACATGGAAAAACCTGAATAAATTAATATATAAATAAATGAATATGAAAGTTTAATTGGATTAGTGTGTCCATTAGTGTGTCAACAACTTGTAATTTGTTTTGTAACTCACGTACATTTTCTATTTCCTGTTTTCTATGTCGTCTTGTGCTCACAAGCTAATTAGCGTGCTGTTTTGTTTTCATTTGGAAGCTTGTATGTTACTGCAGAGTTTGGTCATCGATTGATAGACATGATACAGCACATCAAAGATTATACTGAAACAAAAGAATTAGATTCACACATAACAAATACATATTGTGTCTCGAAGACATTGCCCTGACATCATCTTCCTGTTCATGTTCAAGACCCACAAGCAATTTAATCACACAGACACACACAGAGTCACTTGCAGAGTTTGACCTCTGCATGGTCGCCACGTGGTGAAACGAGAGAGAGAGAGAGAGAGTATTGTAGATGATAATCAGTCTCAGTTTTTTCATGCTGGGGGGCAATCAACTTAATGAGCTTTTTTTTCAAATACTAATTAACTGTATAGTAAGTAATGAAATCACAAGGGCCTAAAACGCAATCTAATAAACTTCTACTCAGTACTTAATTATTGCTGTTGAACTAGTGGCATTTTAAAGTTTTTTTTGTAGGTGCCGCTGTCGGAAACACAATCAGATCACTTTTCATTTCTTTAGAGGCCAGCGACTACCAACAACACATTTCTTCAATAATAAGCTAAACATTTAGTGGCGTATTGATGTAGTAGAAAGAATGCCAACTTCTTTTCTTCTCAAGCTCCCTCATTTCACTACGTTTCATCGCTATCCTTCTTTGCCTCATCCATCAAGGGACCCATTTTTGGGGGGGAGCGAGTTTTTACATTATTTTCCTATTTTTTTTAATAACACAATAATATTACAACAGGAATTACTCCATTGTTCTACAGTCCACCAATACCACTAACTGGGGATGGCTGCTAATGGTTTACAGAGCAAACAAAAGCGCTGTAATCATCGGTTATGTAATGGTTGAGACACTTATTCTTTTTTTATGTCAATTTTCCCAGCAGATCACACCTGGTGGGAGAGAGACCTGCATAGTGACAGTGAGGCTAGTGGAGAAGCCTTCTAAACATTCTCCACCTGTGAAGTGTTCTGATGCATTACCTGCTGGAATAAACACGTTCTCACCGGCCTTAACTCTTCTCTGTGCTGCTAATTAACAACTGCTTTACTCTGACTTGGAGAAGGACAATATCAAGTCTTCACAACTCCGTTTAAAGTAGTGTGGAGACGGAAAATGTAAACTTGGGGACACAACTCCTACTACATGTAAGTCCCTGGTTAAAAGCGTAGTTGGCAAAAAAATTCTGAAATGTTAGTGATTAATAAAAAAAAGAAAACAAAATATGTGATGGGTTCATTGAAGAAAAAGGGAACAATGCAACTCTTTTAAACTAGTTTTTATTTACAAAGTGAAACAAAATGCCCAGTGTTGTCTTTGTGCTTTACATTGTTTCAAACCGCCACTGGAGGTCCAAAAAAGACCTCAGAGGAAGAACAAAAATCATAGCAGGAAGCTCCAGAAAAATCCATCATCACCATAGTCATCATCATCATCATCATCTTCTTCTATATCCTGTTCATCGTCAGTCTATACAGATCTGTAGAAATAATCACACTCCAAAGTCACATCAGTGCTTATTTACAAGGCCTCTTGCCGCAAAACAGTTTTCATTCATTCTTAAAAAAGCTGTGGTGAAGATGCTCTCACACAAGTATGTTGAAAATTGACATAACACGTAATGAAGGTGTCCATTTATACCGCGTGTCATTGTAAAGCATATGTAATTCAAGGACATGTCAGCGTCTTCGCTGTTGTTTTTACCTTTGATTCATCATAGTAGAAAAAGGAGAAAGAGGTTGTTATCTCTACGTACAAGGCATTGTCTACCTGAATCTAAACTCTTTCATTGTGCTACTATTTTTAAACAAAAAAAAAGGTTGTAAGATATAATCCGTAACAGGAAGTGCTTTATATAAGAATAGGTAAACTAGCTCGTGGCTATAGTAGGCTACAGTAGTTCATAGTAGAATCTAAGTGTTTGTTTGATGCACTCTGGTGCTGAAATATTGACCAATGACTGGACTCTCCTTTCTCTCCTTATAATTGCATTGGGAATTGCCACAACAAGCTCACAACATCTAGAGATGATGCCAAGTAAACAAACTGAAACTGCAGCTGGATAAGTGCTGGTAGCTCCTGAGTCCTCACATGGAGTCTGTGAATGAATATCGCGTGCAGAGCCGATTCGGAGAGAACAGCGAGTCAAAGAAGGAGATGGCTTCTTTATCACTGATTAAAACCTCAGGGGACCAGCAGGGACCAGCTCAGGACTACTAAGGGTTAAAGTGCCCCCAGATCCAGCGCCACAGCTGTTGTGTAAAGTTGTGTTTCAACCTTTTCAATAATTCAAGCCATGAACACACTAAGGACCAACACTATCAATGCTTTTTCTTTTAGGTTTGTGTTTAACACCCACGTTTCAGCACCAGAGGCCTACAGAAGTACCCTCTACTTTCTACAATATTTTAGTATAATAATACGAGGCAGGCAGTGCATAAACCATGTACAAAAAGACCCGTCCCGACTCAACCCAGAGCCCTCTACCTAAAGAAGTTGTGCCATCTGTGTGAATCCCTGGAAGCCCTAACAGCTCAGAATACAACAAACATGTTTGTCCACAGGCTAATGATGCCAAGAGTAGAATTATAACTAGGAGGCAATCATTTTAATAGTTCATACTAAATCAGCAGAAATTAGAAAACCTACTCTCTGCTTTTGTTAATTTGATCCATTCAAACACTTAACAATCACAGAAATGGAGAAAGCCTCAAAGAATCACAACAGTGCTACAATCCCTCTTAATACAGAGCTCTCAACCCAACCCTCCATATTTAACACTAACTTGGTTTGCTAACTCCCTGAAATTCAATTTCTCATAACTACATAGAATAGTGGTACTTGAAAGTATCAAGATGTTACAAGTAGTTGTGATACGTCTCTTCAAAAATATCATGCATTATTGCTCTATCGGATATGAATGAAATATATTGCCGAAGACAGAAATTTGCTTAATTTGCCTATTATCTAAGGTTTGGCAAAACATCCCAAAGATTCATAAAATTGGCATAGATTCCATTAATAGGCTATTGTTATTTTTTGCATGCAGTAGTTTTTATAATTAAAGTGGCAGACAAAAGTAAAAAGTTATTTGATAATTAGAAAGTGTCAAATGCTTTGGCATATTTTTAACAAAGGTAAAGTATAACAAAGTAAAGTGCAAAATCAATCCATCTACAAACACATACGAATAAATAAATAAATGAGGCAATATGAAGACGCAAATAAATACTTCAAAGTTGAATACCGTAATACCCACTGGCACCAGAAAAATAATTTGACAAAACTTGAGAAAGTTTGAAACTTTCTGAGGAAAACCAGGACATTTCTAATGTCTGTTTCCTCGTCCGTAGTTCACAAGTAAAGATAAATAACATCAGATTAAAGAATTCCCTTGTGGCTCTGTGGGACCTTTCAGCCTTGGAAGGTCAGTTTGTCTCTTTAATCCTCTTTCCCTTTTCACTGGTGGCAGTAAACTAAAACACAAATAGTAACGTAGAAAATGTAATAGCTTGCATGTCTGTGTCCATTTAAGACTAAATCAATGGTGTACTTACCAGGTGTTATGGAAGGGTTAATTATGCTGGCCAATGTGGATGTTTCAGTAGCCAGCACAGTATACAGGAGGCATAGTATGTCACTAGTGTAAATGAAAAATGTTTTTTTCTTTCATTTAAGAGAAGAAAGACTGTGTGCTTTCTGTGTTCTGAAGCTTCGTCTCCTTATACGAGCAGTCCGAGCTGAGCTTCACCGAAAGCACGATAGCAGATGTAATGTTTTGTTTTGTTTTTTCAAAAAAACATTATAGGAAAATTCCTGTGATATTCATGTCACAGGAAGACAAGAGATGGGAGAGGAATTGTGCTTCAGTGTTGTTTTGTCGTGAGTTAAAAAACAAAAGAAGGACAAGGATAGATATGGACATAAATAGATCTGGGTATCTTCAAAAATGATCAGTTAGATATGCTGTGCTTTATTTATCTTCACAGATACTCAAAACAGCCTCAGAAGGCTGTGTGTCTCATCGAAGCAGGTGGCAAATTGAATCAAGAAACTTCTCACTCTACTTCCACATGAGGAAGGAGAATACAACGGAGGGATTGGAGGGTGCAGATATAAAAATGGACATGTCCTCAATGTATTTTTTTTCGTTGCCATCTGCCTCATTATCCTCGTGGAGAAAACACTCCTCCTTTGCACCGTTCTTCTTGTTGGCCAGAGAAAGGAAAAGCAGGGAGTGAGTCCAGTGAATTTTTTTTTTTAAACAATAAAAGAAACCTCTGAATCCATCACTCTCCCAGCGAGCTCAGAGGGGAGAAAGCCCCCTTGAAGCACGCCGACTCGTAGTGCTTGTTCAGGTAACTCTTGAGCGCAAACGTCTTGTCACACCGCTTGCACTTGTAGTGCTTGAAGGCCGAGTGCGTCTGCATGTGAGCCCGCAGGTTGGACCGGTCGGCGAACGCTTTGCCGCAGTGCGCGCATCCGAACGGCTTCTCGCCCGTGTGCGAGCGCATGTGGCCCTGCAGCAGCCACGGCCGGCTGAACGCTTTGCTGCACACGTCGCACTTGTGCTTGAGGTCGTGGGTCAGCAGGTGCATGGCCATGGCGGGCATGGAGACGTAGACCTTCCCGCACGTGGGGCACTTCTTGGCCATCTTGCTGTCTATGCTCCTGTGCGTCTGCTTGTGCCGGCTCAGGTTGGAGGACGTGGCGTAGGTTTTGCCGCACTCGCTGCAGGTGTGCCTCTGGATGGTCCCCTTGGGGTTCTCCGAGGACTTCCTCCGCGACCGTCCGTCCATGATGAAGAAGGCGTCCACGGTGTACCCATCGCTCACAGCTGCGTCCCCGCTGATGTACGCCTCTGCTGAGGACGAAACCTCGGAGCGCGGGCTGTCCGGCTGGTCCGAGTCGCCGTGGATGTCGCCTGAGTAGGTGTCATCGATGCGGCTGTAGATGATCGACGGAAGCTCGGGGGACGGTTCTTTAGAGATGACGGATGAGTCATTTCCCACCACGTCGTCGTAGGGAGATGGACTGAGATAATCGCTGACGTAGCCTGTGGAGGGAGGGGAAGAGGTTAATGATTTTACCATGACATGATTATTAAGTGGAAATTTGAAAGTGACTGGGCTGAAGAAGCTAAATGATAACTACACGAGTGGTACAAAAGCTCAGAAATGGAAAACTCGTGCCTCAACGACAATCTGTCCTTTTTGACATTTGAGCATTGCCAGCCTCTCCCTGACAAAAAATACAGCCGCTGAGGAGCTGCTCTGTTGCTTTTTCAGTATCCTGTGGATCCCATGACTTCTAAAAATAACTTCCCCTGCACAAGAGATTGCTAATGTTATGCTGTTGCCTCTGTAGGACCAGGTCCAACTCTCTGATTGTATCAAACGTTTGTATTTTTCAGGGGGCCGGGCGAGCAAACGCAACGTGTATGTCCGACGGATGGCCAAACTGGACGTCTTTACGGGGGGTTCGCATCAATGCTCGGACCTTTTGAATTACTATGATGCCTCGATGTCTTGAAACTCGATGTCTCAAACACTACCAACTCTGAGCTTTCATATAACTGTAAAAGCCGGCCACGGATCAAGCTCATTCATTATTCAGAGACATGCCTCATGTGTTGTCTCCTGATAACATTGCTGATTATATCCTACTGTCTCGGATCGTCAGGATCCCATTAAGAACATGTGCATAATGCTTTAAGGTTAAATCTTGTTTAGACAACCAATTAACACTTGCATCCAGGTGGACACAGAAGACACAACTCCTTTCTCATCACACACTGTGAGAGGTTTGGTCTAAAAACACAACCATTTTTGAAAAGGGGCAGAAGCAGAGAAGAAGATGGGAAGAAGCAGGGGAAGTTGAGGTATTTATAGAAGTACTAAAGTGCTTTTATGTCTTTGCCAGCGAGGAGGAGACACTTTCCTCTCAGCAGGAAATCTTCATCTTATTTTTCTGAGAAGGGTTCAGTGAGCATTATACTGTCTCACCCACAACTCCACCTTTCCTGACAGGTTGACGGCTGCACACAGTCACACCTATTAACTTTCAAAATGTCAACTGTTTTGCAGAGATCGTCTCTCTCACGGCAGCTGGGAGTCTCGCGCTTCGCTTAAGGGCTCCCTGACACTGGTAACTATTGACCGTGACCTTTCAGTCCTCCTTCAGTATTTCATTCTTAATCAACCTGCATATTTTTTACACAGCTCATAACCTCTCTGCTCCGTTATTTGTTGCCATGTTTGGAT